TAAGCGTCTGCCTTCGGCTCAGGTCATGATCTCAGGGTCCTGGGATCGAGTCCCGCATCGGGCTCCCTGCTCCTTGGGAGCCTGCTTCTCCCTCTGCCTTTCTCCCTCTGTCTCTCATGAATAAAAAAAAAAAAAAAAAAATCTTTAATTGGCCCAATTATGTCAGCACTTACCTTGGAAAAATTGGCTATTGCTTATTTCCTACTGGTTTGTTTTTCCAAGGTGTGTGGGCCCTTCAGACTGTTGGAATGAGGATACTTTGCCTGATATAATGATTGACTCTGGGTCTTGTGACCCACTGGGGTTTTGTATGTTTTTTGTCATTCTCAAAGGAAAAAGGAGCAAGAAGGAGCCAGTCTTTCCCCCTTTCTGGGTCGTATCCCCCAAACAAGGAGACGTAAAGTTACAGCCTATAGGTTCTTAACTGGTAATTTTATTATTATTATTTATTATTACCACTTTTGAGTTGGTAAATATCTCTGAAACCAGGAGGCTCGAGAGTGTGCTTTGTGCTCACATTGGCACCCCCGGTTCCTGGCAGTAACTGGAATATATACTCATGATTTCTGTTTTCATATGTAGGCAAGGCAAGGGCACTACAATGCCCTGTTCATGTCCGTTCTCCCTCATTATACAAATATGCCTCATAAATTATAGGCCTTGGCACAGACAGAGGAGGTTGTGTTTATCTGTTATCCATGGGAGTGCCCCTTAATGTCATCAGTGGTTTTTTTCCCCCTTTCCTTACCATATAAGGGCAGAAGTTTAACTTGGCTGTAGTCATTTGGTCTTACACAGCAAGTTGGGTGAAACCTCTGTGTAACTACAGTTTGCGTGAAATAAAAATGCCTGACCTTTGATCCTCCCATGTTCCACTGTGGTTCAGTCAGAGCTTTGAAAACATATTCCAGAGGATCACTTTTTAGGCTATCATGTTATTTTCCTACAATTATTTTTTTCTTATTAGTATTAACTAGAATACTTTTTTTTTTTAAAGCAAACATCATTGCTATTTTTATTTGGGTTTTTGGTGTGTGTGTGTGTGTTTTTTTTTGTATTGGCTAAGACATCTGGATTTCATGAAAATAAATGTAGGCCTCGTAAAAGTTTTCTTTCAAATCAGACTTGAAGTAATATTTTGCTGTATTGTGGTGGCCATACCCTTGATTTCCGTGTGGTGCCGTGTTGGGTGGGGGGCAGTGGCGTGCCTGCCCTTGTTTTCTGTGTAGGTAGCTAGTACCTTCAGTTTGGGCGAGGGGACAGGGGAGGCACAACTGCGAAGTGCCTGGTGGTTAACGGCAGATCTGCAGGAAGCTAACTGGTAGCTTTTGCTAATAGAGCAGTCTCTTTTCTGAGGAGCTCATTACATGTTGGGACACAATAGCACTTTTGAAATAAAAGAAAGCAGCGTCCCAAATTGAAAGACTCCACCAGCCATGTCAACACACGGGCCCGTTGTTAGAAGAAGCTAACGCAGCACACGAAGGGTGATTTCCATGCCTGGAAATAATCTTGCGTCTGGGGTCTTGACCCTTCCCAAAAGCCTTGTTAGTTGTATGTGCTTTTAAAATAACAGATACTCATGTGGCTGTGGGCAGAGGTAGTCGCAGGTTACATCTTAAGTAGACTGCCCAGGTTCTGTGATGAAAGGAGCCTTAGAGAATACCTAAATAAACCTCAGAACTTAGAAAACACCAGAAATAAAAGCTAGTGAAGGTGAGAGATAGGAGCCTTTTGAACACAGGGCATAATCCCAAATACACACATACACGTGTGCACGCGCGCGCACACACACACACACGCATGTGCCAGTAAAAATAAGAGAGAAAGAAGTGCTCTGAATTCATTTGTGGAATTAAACTTAATTTGCATTCTGGGGACCCAAACAGCATTGTGACCATACCAGTATGGTAGGGCCTGAGAAGCCAGTGAGAGTCCAGGTTTTTCCCAGGGAAAGCTTTCATGGGGATAGACTTACCCCAGACACTGCCCTCAGGTCCCAGCTGGAGCCGACAAGCACCTGTGCCTGTCCTGAGAAACCTCAGGGGCAGCAGGTATTGGCTTCCCGGCTTGAGAGCAAATGCTCTGTGTCCATACGGGAGGGGTCACCTGTGAGTGCGCTGTGATGAAGTTTTTGATGTAACGCCACGCCGTATTTCAGAAAGGACCAAGAGGACTTGTTTAGTGGATGATATTCAGTACAGTAACTCTTCTAGTCCTGGCTGGCCTCTGTCACGGAAGCCTTTCTTTTGCATGGGCAGTTGTGTTAGGGGAGGCTGTAGAGGACCTCCCACTCTGACATAGGAAGAGAGAGAGTGCCGGAGATCCCTGGAGGCCATGAGAAGTGACAGAACCCACACACGAGGACCCAGGCAACTGGGGCTTTAGTCTTGTCTCCCACTGATGGCCTGAGCATAGTCAGCCCTCTGGATCAAAGATCCCTCTCCTTTGTTTTGAACGGAGAGCTCAAAGAGTGGTTCCCACAGTATTAGCCAGCTTCTGTGGATGGTGGGGCGGGGAAGGTGCAGGAATGGAACAGGTTGCTTATTTATATTGCAGATGCCTGCCCTCCCTTCTGACCTCCTGAATCAGAATCTCTAGGAATGGGGCCTAGAACTTTGCATTATTAATGCGCACCTCCTAGTGGATTCTGACACTCAGCCAGTTGTGGGGACTGCTGAATGATGCCTAGGGACTCTTCCAGCTAAACAAATGAGACCCCATTTTGTGACCCACCCACATGTCTGCTCTCTGTGTGCGAACATTCCTAGCTCCTAGAATGGACCTCCATTCCCAGTTGTGGCTTGGGTGCCCTATATGAAACCCTATATGAGGTCCTATAGGACACAACCCATAATGTCAGGATGTCTAAGTTTCTACAACATGCCCCCAGGGAAAGAGTTAGTGACATTTATAAAACAGAGTCTAGAACTAAAGGAGGGAATGGTTAGAGTGAGAGGCAATAAGAGGGAAGATACAGATTGATGTGGGGGACCTCTCAGGGAGGGAGCTCTTGTGTACAGAGGCAGGAACGAGCATGGGGTATGGTTTCCTTATTCTCTGGTGCCTCAGCCACATGAGGAGCTGGGGACCTAGACTGCCCTGTCACCCAGAAGGCCCTTTCCTTAGAGCAGAAACAGTCTTCTTTCTGTGAGTAGGAAGTTCTCAAGGTTGGGGCCCAGATGAAACACAAAGCAGAAACTTAGAATGTGGTGGCTACAAGAAAACATTTGGAAAATCTTGTTGACATTTCTCTGGCCACAGCACCTGTAACAAAGATACTTGCCTTCAGATTAAAAGAAATAATAAAGAAGGGGGGGAGAAAAATACTTTTGAGTACATGACATAGACATTCTACTATGGTATTTTTGTTTTTGCTCTTCTTTTTTGTTTTCAACTTTGCAACTTGCGTGCTTATCTCCCCCCCCACCCCCCCCCGTTCATAAAGGGAATAGAATTTTACTAGAAATGGAAAATACGGAAAAGTGAAAAAAGCAGACCTGACCCAAAGTATACCCTTCATGTACACTTCCTTCTAATTTTTAAAAAACAGAACTAAAAAGACAGTTCCTTGTATGTAAGAAATGTATTGTTCCTATTACCCTCACCCCTTGTCTAGAGAAAACCATACTCACCAGCTGGTCAGACTTAGCAGAACCCAGTAAGGATTTACCTTGTAGGCCAATGTGGTTGTAAACTCCTCCTCAGATCCGTTTCCCTTTTCCCCTATTCCCTGACTCCATCAGCCAATTATTACTACATAATTAATTTTTGATAAGATAAAAGTGTATTTGAATTTTTTATAAGTCCTTCACCATGGTTGGAGATACCCTAATCACCTCTTTTCCAGACAAAACTTGGCATTTAAAATTTTACAAATCCTGATGAGCAAAGAGCTGCATGTTCTCAGATTCATTTCATTCAAGACCATAAGCACAGCCTCTCTCTAACTACACGTGCCTTTCAAACCGTGTACGTCATGGGTCCATGAGCTAAGAAAGTTGCTTTGTTTAAATTAGGTTGATTTTACTTGTTTTATTCAGTAGACATTTACTGAGCCCATATTGTATGCAGAGAACTGTGACTCCCTACATGCAGGAGGCTTCCTGTTGAGTAAAGAAGACAGGAATATAGATAGAAATCACATGGGTGCCTAAGTATGTATGTATTGTAATTTTTAGAAAATTCTCAAGTGTCCTGAAAACCTTATCACCCCATGATAAGCACATACTCAAAGTGGATGCGGATGAGGAAATGGTACCTGATTAGTAAGTGCTAGCTGATTTCCATGCATAGTATCTAAACAGACCCTAATGCAGTGTGTATGAGGGACCATCACAGTCTTACAAGTGTTCTGAGGCTCATAGTAGCAAGTGCTTGTAATAGTAGGTAATCATCGCATCCCCAAAAAAGAAACCTCTTAATTCAGATACAGATACCAATAAAAATAGTCTCTATACTGCTTTCTCTACGGAGTTTGAAACTTTTCTTGTAGCAACCTTGTAAGAAATGCCAGTAAGCTTATCTCAAAAACACATGGGAAATTTGTCTTGGCCCTGCTCCAGCATGACCAAGTTCTGCAGGGGTCACTGAGAAGAGGGTGGGAGAGGGGCGGTTACTGGATTTCGTTGCGTCTGTATGGTGTATATCTTGGAACAGCTGAATTTTTAAACATTTTAGTTCCTTTATAAGACTCCTTTGAGCAAGTGGCCAGGAGAAAGGAGAATGCAGACCCCTGAGTCTGGTTTCTGGCTGTCCTGCTCTTGTCTTGTGCGGCCGAGCCTGGGTAAGTCTCACCTCTGTCCAGCCCTCGCGCCCCAGTGAGTGAGGTGGCCGTCCTGAAGTGCTCCTTGGGCAGTCAGGTAGGGCCAGTGTGGAGTTCTGTGGAAGAAAGGAACCTAGCGAGAGAGCACTTGCTCACAGTCCCTCTGGCCGCTGAAAATGGTGCGTGTAGACTTGTAAACACACAAGTGTGTGCATTCACTGTACCAAATCAACGGAGCCGCACCTCCAAGAACTCCAGTGGACCGGGGCTTGTGGTGAGCCTGGAGGTAGCTCCCCACAGCGCCAGGCTTCCTGTCTGAAATTGGTGTTTCAGGCTCCGCCACTTCCTGAAGGCACTGCCCTCGCTTTCTCTCCTGGTCTGAAGTACCTTTCACTCTCTCTGCCTAGGCTGAAGCCGATGTAGCTTCTCTGAACAGACGCATCCAGCTGGTTGAGGAAGAGTTGGATCGTGCCCAAGAGCGACTGGCAACAGCTTTGCAGAAGCTGGAGGAGGCTGAGAAGGCCGCGGACGAGAGCGAGAGGTGAGTGCACCTCTCCCAGCCCACCTTTCCGCACCAGCCTCTCCTCCGGGTGCGACAGGGGGGCTTCCCTGATCTTTGGGGCTTAAGAGTTTTAGAGTCCCTTGGTGGGATCATTTCCTCAGTCAGTCCCAGGTATAACTTTGCTAGGTTTGTTCGTTTAACATGAGTGGGACACTTGTGTGCCAAGCACTATTTTAAACCCCAAGATTACAAAGAAGAGAAAGATCCTATTCCTGCCCTCATAGAGCTCACCGTCCAGCGAAGGAGAGGGACATTTAAATGAGATATTCTAAGGATGCCTATTGGTTCCTTCATTCCTGCTGACCACAGAGCAGTTAGGCATTTTTTAAAAGATAACCTTTATTTTAAAATATGCAGAGGAGACTGGGCCTATCAGTTGTCAAATGACCCAAAAAATAAGTGGAAGAGGAAGCACAGATAAAACAGAAATATGATCTGCTAAAGTAATTGTTTTGGACTTAGTAACACTAATAAGACACTCATGCACATGTCAGTACAGTCGGATACTTGCGTATTCTGAGCCCGCTCCCTGTAACCTGGCTCTTACCTGACTGATGTCTCCAAGATTCAGCTTTGTGGTAGTAAAGGAAGACCATGGCCATATAGCCCAGCACAACTCCATGCGTTCTAGAAGGCATTTTCTGGTGTGCTCAGCCACTCAAGCTCATGTATTCGTATTGCACAGAAGCATTCCAAGAACAACTCCACGAAACTAGAGAGAGTTCTCCTGCTGGAGGGTTGAGAGAGTAGTGTGGCGGCTCAGAACGCTGGGAGTGCGGATCCGTGCTGTGACCTGGGCAGGTGAATGGAGTCAATCCCTCTTTCCATTTCTCCCTCTTGGATAGAAGTGAGTTTCTGCTCCCTGCCACCAGGGATAAAGAGTGATTTCAGACTTGAAGATTCAAGAAGCTTTTAAGCTGAAGTTTCCAGCTCATTATTCACTGTTGCTTATTGTTTCTTCCCTAACCAAGAGTTTTGGAATTCCTTAGGATGACTCATCATCTCTTACAGTACACACATACCAGTGGTTTTGTGGCTGATTCTTCCTGAAATATACTTGTTAGTGAACCTAAAAGGCAATCTGGCAATGTTAGACTTGGTAGTAAAAAGGAATTTAGAGGTCGTTTACCCCAGGCCCCTCATTTTACAAATGAGAAAACAAGGGCTTAGCAGGTGATGAGGCCTGCCCAAAGTCTCAGAGCGAATTGACGGCCAAGCCAAGACTCGAATCTCAGTCTTCTAATATATACCGTAGCACTTCATCAAAAAATAGTGGTTTAGGGCGCCTG